ATCCAATCAAAGACTAGCAACCAAAGCTTTTTAGCTATTCGTTGTGAGGGTTACGCATATGCTTGATTTCAAAACGGACTTAAAACTTGCAGATTCCAACGTTAAAAATTACAGCAAAAATCATTTTCAAATACTTCGTTAATTCAGCAAGATCCTCCTGACGTACCATGCTTCAGGTGATTGTATCTCACGCTATTGAGAAGCAAGTTATACGACTAAGCGCAATAGTGTTAAACAGTCCGCATTGTGATAACTAGGTGGCGGGCATGCAAGAAACGCGGTCCAGCAAAAAGGGTTGAAACGAGGTGTCCTGGGTTTAACTGTCAAAAAGTAGATATGGAATTGTTGGATATTAATTTATTTGGATAAGATATTCAATGCTTAACAGGTCTTAAGAGAAATTTAGCCCTAGAACAGGCGCACGTGAACAATCATGCTATCATGTATCTCACCATAGTGTTCATCTAGTCACTTAAGCAAAGAAACTTAGTGGTCACGCGGACTCGGCGAACAAAGCAACCTCTCCCACCTAACGGGAAGTACCGATAATTCAACCGACTGCACGCGCCCAACCAGACTTTGTGAGGAAGGTGAACGCACAAACCACTTGCTTATGCAGTCCTTTTCCAGATAAAGTAGGGTATTTGCACGTAACGTAAATCGGTAGGGGTGTTACCAAATCGGGTTTTGATTACCTATGCTATAGAGATAGCAACAAGGTGCTGGAACGGTACTAAAACGCAGACACATCGTACAAGACAGCAAGAATTTCGGCAGCTTATCAACTGGTTAGTGACTCTTTAAAAGGTTGGTGTGGCCAAGTTCCCGGTAGTCGCCAGACATTATGCAATCGATGACAGTATCCGCGTTACTCACTCAAGTCTCTCACTTATGTTGGTACGGAAGATGGTAGAAGCTCACCGCACTCTTGATGGCTACACGTTGTGGAATCTCAAACACAGCGAGATCATTTCATGGTTATCAGAGATCGGTGGCGCATTCTATATAGGATCCTCACAAAAGCCTTAGGCAGCTACGGGAAGAAGGATGGGTCAAACCATTCAACGGTGTATCCAAGTGACATATGCTTTGGTTATTTAATTTCAGCATTTCTCCGGATTACTCCCAGCAACCGTGTTTATCTGGAACCAGTAACTGAGGATCACCCCACTTAGAAGTAACTATACACAACGTATACGCCGAACCCATACACCCTAGGTGGATAATGAGATATATGGACCGCATTAGTAAAAACCATGTCCTTCGTTACCTATTCGTTAGCTACTCCTTGTCCCTTCCTCTTCTTGTGATCCCGCAATGCATAGACGGCGATACACAATGACAAAGAAGTGTGCAGTGTTCACAGTGTGCGCCGGTCACACCTATGTAGAAACAGCAACGATGTTAACGACGAGTGTTTAAAACAACAGGCTCAAGCAACATGCCGATTTCACACTGTCTCATCCTGATTAATATATGAAAAATTCACTCAAACCTGATTGAAGCATGACCAATGCAGCGAACAGTCATTCAATATGTCAGACTCAACAAAAAAGTATGGGCAACAGCAAGTGGTATCAAAGTAGTATGATTTAGGTGCAAGGAAACTAGGAACAAAATGAACACTGGGTTACGACTGTGCCGGCATGCCTTAGCGTCATTCGGTTTTGCTCGCCAGAGACATTTGAACACACTTTACGACTGGCGAAAAGTGAAGCTCATTGGAGAGTTGCAACAACTCGTGATATTCCAAAGCTTTGGCACAATGAGACAGTCATATCTGTTGAACGCTAAGAGGCGCTGTTGTTCAGTATGTGCCTGTTTTTGTCTCCGTTGTATAAACAAGGGAATAATAATAGGCAAATTGCGGATTTGACCAATTTTCTGCATTCACAGAAGACAGAACACAATTCAGAGTGGTGGTCGAAAAATTGTGTAGTGACGCGGATGCACCTAAATACGCCTTATTATTATTTTGATACAAGAGCTTCGACTACTTTCAACGTAACATCCGAATGTAACACTCGAATAGATCCGATTAAAGCTCACAGCGTCGATCGCACTGTGGCTTGAAGGTCTAGGCAAAATGTGTATCATTGGTCCCCAACTTTTAAGCGTAAAAGGCTTCCGGAAACAAACGACAGAAGATAAATCCCCACGACGAACGTTAGAGTATGACGGTTGTCATCCCACAAAATATTACCAACAATCGATAAAAAGCGATCAGCCAAAAACAGTGTGACCTAGGAAAACAACTAGTAAGCTACCCACTGATCTCTGGCGATTCACATTCTTCCCATGTTTAGACCGCCGGCAAATGAATGATTTCGTCCGCTACTAACTCCCGGGCGCCACCGCCGTCCCGAGCAATTATTGATGGGGGCGTGTAGTGTAGGTAAAACCTATTAGGAGAGTGCTCGTGTTTTTGAGAAGAGCACCTTGTGATCAATCGATGGTTGAACGCGATTTTCCTCTGTAATCGTTGCTACTAACATACGTCTCACTAAATGGTTTGCCTGCTGAAAGAAAACAGGCATTGTGTGTGGTGAATGGAAGTAGAGATTAAATTGCCGATAATTCCTAACGAAACCTATATCATTCAGGAAAAGTGCCAGAGCGATGTCCTAACGAGATAGCAAGGTTTTACGCAGCCAACTGCTAACTATATTCGCCGAGACAGAAAATATACTTTAATCAAAATGTCAAATAGGGAGGATAGTCTAGTACCCTCTGGTACGCACCACGTTTTGCGGTAGTTTTCGGTAAAAACCACAGAATGCTGAAAATTCAAACCAAATGCATAACAAGCCATAATAAATTCCGTGTGATTGGACCATTATAGGTATAAGAATCAGAAAACCTCCAGAAATTATACGTTTACTCAAGTAACACGATATTCCTCACAAAATAGGTTTCCCAGCCCAAAAAGGACTGGTTAAACCGTGCTTACATAATTGGATTTAGCCTAACGGACATTTCGCGCAATGACTGACCAACTATTGCTTCCTTTTCGAGCTTCGCATGCTATGTTTCAGTGACGGTTGACGACAGAATACCGACGCTATCCTTTGCCCTCTGTCGCTTATCACTGGCATCATTTTATTTGACTTACTGAAAGACAAGCAAGTTTTCGTCGTGGTCGTAGGTGCATTAATCACATTTTTACTCTCAGTCAAGTGTTAGAGCAGACAAGGCCCCGATTGTGATTGGTTTCCTTGATCTGAAACACGCCTTCGACACAAATGATCGTGCCTGTCCGTAAAGGGCCTGCCATTCCGAAATCTCTCAACCGCGACTCCAGAGGCCGAGTAGGAATATATGCGTAGCTCTCTTGAGTTCCCAATGACAACTGCAGTTCGATAGGGTTGTCCTATATTGCCTCTCCCTCCTCAACTTGTGAACGAAATGATCACACATGACTATCAGATCAGGTTATCTCTAGCTGACGAGTCCAACTCACAATGAAACCGGCCCGCCGTGGTGTGCAGTTTTGGATGAGAGCATCACTGAAACCACTGATTCATAATTCGGTTCTTTCAGACCTTTCCGGAATGGATGTTCTGCCAGGTGACTGACTGACAAACCATGAGCACGCGGACGGCATAGCTCTGCTTAGGTCTGATAGTAGCTAGTCAAGCACTACTGAGTAGAGTGACGTGTAGGGTCGCATGTTTCGGTATGGGATTTGCACCTTCAAAGTACAAACTACCATTGCAGGACTGCACTGATATGCTACCCGGTTTTGGCTTTCAGCGAACAACCACTAGAGGTGATGGATCGCTTTAGTTACCTTGAGAGCTGTGTCAACTCAATGAAGCGATTGCTTCACGTAACAGCAGGGCCTGGGCGGCCTTTCAGAGGCTCAGTTACCTTTGGTAATCGTGGGATGTCAGCCTGTCAGTGAAAGGCAGGGTGTATAACGCCTCGATAAGACCATTGCTAGTGTTAGGATCGGAGATATGACCAGTTCGCAGTGACGATAACAACCGATTGGCCGTTTTTGAACACAGGAGTAGTGCTGATATCTGATGGGAATCCCGGGTAAATAATGCTAAAGGTCATAGCTGCTTACCTGAACCTAAGATAATAATCGATTAGTTGGTTGATTAGACTAGTATAGGTTATTCTGTTCCGCTGGCTTTCCTGAAGTAAAAATGCTTCGTAGGATGACCCATTGTTCCAGAAAAACAAGCTGAATCAACAACTTTCAGCGGAAGTTTCCAGCCTTTTACGAATAATTCAGGAACGCCACACAAATTGAATGAATTAACTGGCACTGCCATTTTTGGTGGATGATATGGTGACTCTAGCAGATCAGTGCTTTCAGCAGGACCCCTAATTACACTGAAGATCAAGATGTTATGAAACTGTATCGGAACAGTTACCCTTGTGAACATATTTGTTTATCCCTGTCAATTGTTTTGAATGTCATTGAGAAATACGTCTCTTTTCAAGATGAACCCCGTGGGATTTAGAAAAACACACAGAGAAGTTAAATGTAGACAGCCTAGAACATTAGATGTCGCGTGGTAAGTCACCGCAACTTAAAGGTAGAATAAATAACAGCAGAAGTCTTAAAAGGCTAAAATGTTAAGGGTGTGAGTGACCATAGTAATCTGTTACTAAGCTGGATAATTGGTTATAATATTTTAAATATTCCTCCTCATGGTTGCCATCACGGCGGCCAAATATACAAAGCTTGCGAGGGGTTCTCTAGTACAAATGGCTTTAACATTTTTGTCCTCAAGTAGTAACACTGCTCCAGATTATCTCCCAGTTCGTCCACTTCTTAATAAATGGTAAAGTACCAATTAACTTTTTCACGAACCACAACAATTGATAAGCACTTGCGTCAACTTGCCTTAAGTACTTAGACCTTTCAGCAGCGCTTTTTAAGTGCACGTTGAGTTTCTGGTTGTCTAAAAGGCTGTGCATGAGTATAACGAGATACGTAACGATATATATATATATATGTACATTAATACGAAGCAACTAATTACCTGACAGTCGCCAACGAAGTGATGCATTTCGTAGGCAGCGTTTAGCAGTTGCTTTCTTGTTTCTATCAATTCCAACAAGTCAGCCCATGAATCATTCAAAGAATCTTTGGCGGATGCGATCTCAGCTGCATCAGGGTGCCCCATCGAGAGGAACCGATCACACTGATCGTTGACTGATACAACACGAGCCGTGCCATCTGGGGCGGTTACTTTGATGAAGTTGAAGAACTTCTCACGTAGCAGGCAACAATGATCGATATCTGTGCCCACCTCTTGAACAGTAGCCACTTTGGCCTTTTCGTTGATCCAGGTCTTCAAAACAGAAAGAAACACTAAGTAATGAAACCGTATATCATATGCACTTCCACGGACATACATAAAAGTCGTTTATTGTGATAGGTTTCTGTAGGTTGTCAGCAAATTAAGACAGTCTGGCAGTATAACTATCATACTCCGAAGGTCAATACAAGTGCAGTGAAGCCGCAACTGTACAATAAAATGTCGACCAGAAAAAGCAATTTATAAATTAGAAAAGTAAACGACTTCCATCATGAACCCATCCTACTGTTATGTCATGACTTCGTTAGACAGATATCCACAGCAAGCTTCTAAAGGCAGTTAGTAACTTAGTTATCAGGTACACAACAAATTATATTTCGCTCCTCAACGACCCTTGATGACCTATAAGGTGAAGGTCCTGGGATTCTGTGAAACGTGGTGTACAACCTTTGGTAGCTACCCATTCCTGACTTCATCTTCTTCGTTACTGATTTCGTACATAGATCATAGTTCACTGCCTCTCGCTTTTACCTTCCTGGATGCCTGACTGTGCGTTCGTGGGAACATGTTCACTACAACGGTGCTGACTATGTTTGCTGCTTGTGTTACTGAGTATTTTACTGAAAGCGACTAGCTACGGTGCAGAACACAGTTACCTCTGCAGACAAAACAAAAGGTATTTACACCTACCATCCCCTTCACACAATACAGCCGACTGGAATGTCGAAGAAACGTTTTCTCCCTCCGAGTGTCATAGCCTTGGAACGCCCTCCCGGTACATATAATTAATGCCCCCAAATTATCTCTTTTCAAATACGCCCTGACGCCGCTCTGAAACATTTAAACTGAGTGATCTAGCCCGTGACCATCGGATGATGGAATTATTGCACAAGAAACAGTTGACGGCATCGTAAACCCCCCTATAATCTAGGAGGGAATAATTGCACATGTGCTTCACCAAACTCCTTGGCGAATCATGTATCTCATACACTCTTTTATTGACATGGTTGTAGTTAATTTTGCGATTTTCTCTCTAACCATCCTAAGGGACATGTCAAGCGTTCGCTTTTATACCCATCATAAACCATTGCTCCATTTCCCATTCATTTCGGTTTGGATTTTCCATTCGCTTCTGTCCTCCTCTGATCTTAATTTTGCTGAACGCACCTATGGTTGCGGGGCACGAGCACAAATAAATGCTGAGTGTCACTACTTAGTCTCCAAATTCGTCGAGTCTAAATCGCCTCTAAGCCACCTAGCACTATTACTTTTTCTGCAAAGTTATATTACATCACAGTGCGACCAGCAATTATCGAATTCGTGCTAGACTATACATTATGTTGCACCAAGCATTTATTGAATCATGTTGATAAACAAAACATTATTTGAATCTTTTGTTGTTATCTTTAGCGCAATCTCACTGTGCTGTAAACATGTTCTCTCACCAATTTTCGTCTCTCCTTTATAAAATACCTTCAACGGAGTGTTCTCTTAACACCGGAGAGCTATCACCTTAGTTTGAAGCCCCAAACGTGTTTGCGAAAAATTCCGTTCGCCTTAATTAATCCCAAGTACAATTCTTACATTTAGTGTCACGCATTGCTTAGATACTGTGTAATCTATCAGTTGTCAAATCGCAAATTCCCGTAAAACCCGATTTGTCCCTTGAGGATACGATCTCTCAGTATTTCAAGATATATGCCTATGATTATTGTCAATCGGTCCTGCAAAACATTACCAATGTATTGGAAATGAATGCTCGAAGTTAGCGTTAGACCAAATTTAAGCGCCTGCCCGCATAAGTTGATCTATTCAGACCCGTCTTTACAAGTTGTAATGAACCTAGATGAACCAGTAGGTCAATTTTACTCGTTGACCGTTCATAACACCTAACTCCGCGACGTGTTTCGTATCTACCTGGACGCTTCATGTAAAAATGGAAACGCGACTAGAATTCCCGGAGTGTCACAGAGACAGAAGCAATCGAGACTCCCTTCAAAGTATATCAAGGTTCAGGTTGAGACTACGTGTCGTAATCCATACATACAAAGGGAGCCTCAGACAAACCCAGTGAGCAAATTTAGGGTTTTAGAACAACGCATTGAAATAAAAACGCGAAAGTTTACCTTGAAGTAAAACTTTCGCAAGATGGACTTCAACTGCTTACTGCGCTAGGTTTGGAGAACTTCAAAGCACATTATGGGCATGATGTAACAGACGGTTAAAATTCCTGAGTAGATGTATGCGAGAATGTGTAAGCAAGGAAATAACGGTCGCGTAAAATGTCTATGATGAGATGGCCAGCTGTACCTCACTCCTGAATTCATCATGATATGACTTAGACATTTGTTTTCCAGAACGGACAAGGTGATAGCAAACCGGTAGACAATCGCATCTGTTCACTAGGTTAATGCGTCTCACATAAAGTTGAAAACCTAGTTGCAATTCAATTTGGCTCACTGTGGGTGTTACCACCACGCCTCGAGCTGAAATCTTTTCGGAAACCTCCTTGAGATAAAAGAATGACCTTACCTCCATATCTTTCATCAGCATGACCTGAACGGTCAAACTAATTTAAGTTCCGCTCGTGGTCGACTTGCATCCTTATAGTTAGGAGTCTTGTGTAGACGAGGCATAATAGGTAATAGCTGTTCGCTTACTCGACTCAAATAGCTCTTTATGGGGGGGGGGGCAAGTTGAGGCAGTAAAAGGGGAACAGGACATAACACGAAACCACAGATACTTTCTGTGTAAACCTGCTGTGGTAAATTTGAGCTCGCGTCACATCACATAAATTCTACTTTCAAGAGAACGGTTTAGCGTCAGAACAAACAAGGTATACCATTTGACAAAGGTTTACTCATCGATGCATTAAAGTATAATGGTCAGTAATCTTACCTCCAGATCGGAGATTAATCGGAACAACCTAAACTTCGCTAAACTGGACTCAAATTCCGCCTTCTTCTCCGACGCGAGAGCCGTCGAACTTTGAGATGCACGTTCCACACGAGAAAGACTGGTCTGTATCACATGCAAATACGTTCGAAGCTGGACTTGTGGCTTTTGTTGCTCTTGTCCTCTTGCTTTGCACTCCTCAAGTTGTTGGGATAGACGGTCACACAAAATTCGCGCTGTGTTCCGCAGACTGGTGAGTTGATGCTTCGATTGTTCCAACGTGGACAAGTGGTTTTGGATCTTTCGCAGTGACGCACTGGAAGCAGTTTCACTCTGGATTGAATAGCAAAGGATTCACACGAAAACACTGCACTTCAGAGCCATCACGAAATGTGAAAATCACCAAACATAAAAGACCTACCAGGACTAAATAACCGCAGAATAAGTGAATATTAGGTCAATACGCACAAATGTACGGTCACCATTTGGTTGTTTGCCAATTTCATAGATTCAACACAAATATGAAAACAGTTTGGGCAATTTATTTCAGCAGTAATGTATATGGGGTCCACGGTCGTTCTCTTCAGCACACTGGAGGAGAATGCGTGAGAAACAGCTGTTATGGTCGTCTTAATTTCGCGTATGCTCGGCTACTCGGGACTTATTTTGAGAGTTGCACTGCATCATCTGTCAAGTTGTACACTGATAAATAACGCATTCAGTGATGTTGTTCACTGTCTTAGATACTAAAGGTGCTTCTGGTTGGTATTCTACAACCATCAGTTGTAGTCACTAATATCCAGGAAAGTTAAAAGACCCTAGGTGATTCAACTTCGAATGGTGCTAGATCATTTCGGTTACCATACTGTCGTTTTGTACGCCGGAAAATGCTAGGCGACTTACAAATGCCATCGCTTACTCGTAACAGAGATAAGTGGCTTAAAGTAAAAGAAAAATAACAACAAGTACCCTAACAAGGTTCGGGATAGTCTGGTGTGACCACTTCACGAAAAACTACTGCAATAAACAATCGGTTGCGAAGTATTATTTAGGCTCGATAGTTAGAAACGCTAGCGCTATCTGTTTCCCTGATCGCTGCTAATTGCTGTGCTACCGCCAACCTCAAGCCAGGTAAACGCTTGTCAATACGATGCAACTCAGCCGGGCTCATTTGAAGTCCACCATGTCCACAAGCGTAGCTTTCAGTATGATTACCGGGTATAGTGGTTGATACGCTTAAGCAAAATCGCTTCTTCGAACGGTGTAGATTGGAACTTACTCACAAAACCATACCACCATGGTTCCCTTTCCTTATGTTCCCTTTTTCACCGCGGTTAAGCCCAGGTACTTCAGGAGAAGAATAAATTTGAACCCACTATCAGCAATAGGAAGCAAATTATGCCGTTATTCAAACGTAAGACGCTATTTCATACTAGTGTCTTCAATAACAAAACTAATGCAATGCTGGCAACACGCAGAGAGACAGCTGACTCTGCTGCATCATGCGCGACGCCTGACACGTTCAAATGACGAGGTAAGCACACGTGAAGTTACCATTGACATCGAACCCCCGATCCCGGAAATAAAACTACACGAATCGCTTCTGTCAAATGTGCTAACGATGCTCTAAAAGAGCAACTTATGATCAACATGATCTATACGTTTATCGTGTTACTCCACTTACAGTTAAGTTCCGTTGTGATGCAGTCAGGCTACTTCGTAACGCATTCACATCGCATCCACGAGCAATTGTACACATGCTTGCACACCCAGGTCGTTCAGTTGTCAATTCTCATCAAACACTAAGATAACCGATTACCATACATGCGCATGCGGTTCTTTGCCTCGGACATATATGCGAGGTGCGTCCTTAAATGTTCACATACCAAACCCAGACGATGCAGTGAATCCATTCGATGCGCTGTAACGGTGGGGGACACGCGCGTGACGAAACGGGCGAGCGGCAACATACGCACCTGACCAGATGATATCGAAAATTCCCGGGCGCTTGTCCTTACACCTAAACGCTATGGACACAGGTGAGAAGGCAAGGGGGCACAATGCGAGTGATGCATTAAGGCCGAGGTTGATTAAACAGCTGAAATCACGTGTGTGAACTGATGCACACCATCCACATAACAGGCGAGATGAATACAGTGCGCGAAGTGCCTTGGTCACACTCCAACATTTCGCCACTCGCACTGAGACCTTAATGTAACAAATGCTGTAGTGGCCCTATTGTATGTTAAACAGCGGACACGCGCTGTTTAAGGGCAACGGAGTTTAGATACAGTCGTTAAACGTCATATGCTAAACACTCGGCAGTTTCTTTCAGCTGTTTGTATTCGTAGGATAAGCGACTAATGTGTAGGCCATTGTAATGACATCCACCTAGGTCAGGGATGTCCAAAGTCCGGCCCGCGGCCCAAATGCGGCTGGCATTAACATTTCAACTGGCCCGCAGTCTCATCATCAAATAATAAATTCAAACTGACTTTCGTACATGTGTGATTTTTATTAGCTTAATGTCAGAAAAGATGACCCTACATATTGTTACCTCATAAAATGTGACCCTCCTTGCATAATGTTTGGACACACCTGACCTAGGTGGAACGAGGGGTTCCCGTTCTTCACTGGAATAGTGTGCCACTATCAGACAAATCAGGATGAATAGCCACATGAATAACCACATGAATAGCCACAATCTTTTCAATGCAGCGAGCACAACTGACTTCACAGTACTTTGATATACTTGATACTAAGAGTAAAACAGCAAGTTCAAATCCTGAGATGGTTTAGTGCCGAACGGTGGAAGGATTCCTGATAAATCGGAATACTTGTAGTGTGGGTTGACGGTGTATCTAATGGTCTTCCGCAAGGATATGCAGCCTAAGTAATTAGGCAATTTTGAACCACTCGCAATAGTTTGATCAATCTGACAACCAGCAAAATAACTATTCACGTTCTGCGCACGGCACTCGTATTTGCGACATTAGCTGCATGCAATTCCTCACTGATTATTACATCAAGTACTCATATTGACAAATGATCTATCACCACTGTTGGCACTGTGTCTGCTGTCCTGATTATTACGAATAAGCATAACCCCATAGGATCGTCTCGCAACGCCGAACCCGGAACAAATGCGCAAACCATCTTTAACCCAGCTTGTGTATAGGCATCGCTGTGTACCTCTGAATGGGGATTAATGTCGATGAAGTGGATGGTGTAGAAACAATGGTCTCCCAATGCACAGGGGCAACCACAACATTCCAATTCACCTATAACTCCGTTAGTGGAATGGAAAGAATTCACATGTGTGGACTACACTGTGCGTGCGCAACTCCTTCTCACGTGCTGGACCAGTTGCCGCGATACCGGCATTTCACGCAGGTTCCCACCTCTGACACAATCAGTTTCAGGAAATGAATCCTCCAGTTGCTCTTACGTAAGGGGGCCTACAGGATTTTCCTGCAGCATCTCGGTGTGTCGCAGCCTCAGTTTGAAGCACAAACGATTTTATGACGCATCAAACGCTCTTTTAAAAATCCAGTGAGGGGAATAAACAGCAGGACTCAGGAGGCTCACTGTACGTTACGGTTCCTCTAGGGAGACGTGTTCGAGTTTCGTGCCAAGCAGTCTGTTACTACAACTCAGGAGGAATACTTCGGTAGAAACCGGGCCGTGGCGTCCAAATTACTTATCGCATCTTGCGATTTGGCTTCTTAGGAAATATAAACAAGCACATCAACCCGACTTATCGAATGAGAAAGCCACCCGCTATGCACTGTCGAATGATGTGTCCCTAGCTCAGTGACCTTTGAAATATGCGTCGAACCTTGAAGCTTTGTGTATCATTCTGTTTGATGTTAGCCGAGAGATAATTTGGTCGTGCAGGCTTAGGCGAGTTCCCTTTGACTGTATAGCCGTCTGTGTTCTTAACGAGCCAGATTTCATCTACCTATAAGTGCTTCGTTTATGTCGTGGTGGCTTCGGCTGATGGCTTACTGTCATTTTAAAGCTCACCCACTGTCAGCCGCAGGTAAACGGCACATCTGTACGCGCCTCATTGGTAATGTCAGCGCGAATACCGTCGGGCCTGATGTGACATCAAAAGTAAATCAGGTCATTAAACTACGCGCCCATTGCGTTTACGAGGTTGATGATATAGACAAGTTTTTGTGCTCTTAACTGTTAAATGTGTCCGACAACATACGGTTTGCCGCAGATAAGCATATTTACAATGCAACTAGCTGACTTTTAGCTTCCACCACTCTTACGAACGCCGACCAACATGTGCTTCAGAGTGATTTAGATACGGTGTATCAATGGTCGACCCAAAACTCATCGTATTTCAACGTCAGTAAATGCAAGGTGCTTTCCATCCGACATCAGAGCAGCTACTCATACCGAATCGGAACGAATATACTACAACAATCAACTCTCGAACGTGACTTGGGTGTCCTGGTTCAAGATGACTTGGGTTGATCCAGGCAATCCGAAAAGGCCTCGAAGACCGGGAACCAACACGTCGGGCTGTTGAGGCGGGCGTTTGGACAAATAAACAGCTCCATATTTCGACTAATGCTCAATGCGTATGTTCGCCCCCATGTCGAATATGCAATTCAAGCCTGGCATCCATGGCTGAAACACGACGTTAATGCACTGGAGCAGCCACAACGCCGGGCATCTAAGAAAGTAATTGGAATGCGCAATCCTTCATACCAGGAGAGGCTGCGACGACTGGGATTGTTCAGTGGAAGCTATCGCAGACTACGAGGCGACCTTATTATGGCATACTTGATTCTGCGAGACCGACATCATGTGTGCCGCCCTTTAGTGCAACTCAGCAGCAATACAAACCTGAGGGGCCACTCATTAAAACTCGCAGAACAATACAGTCGTCTGGAGTGCAGCAGAAATTTCTCTTCTATTCGTGTCTGTCACCCGTGGAATGCTCTCCCAGAATCGGTCGTCTCTGCACCGATACTAACAGTATTTAAAAGACGGTAGGATGATGCACTCATCCACTTACACTTTGTCACTTAACACTACGTCTCCATCCTACATCTGGAGTTTACCATGGAATCATCTGTTTTTAACTGCGGGGGCTGTGAATCTAAGAGGATCGCAGGACTGCAGCGAAGTAAATGATAAGTACTTATTTTCATATTAACTATTAACTATTTTGCTATCCTTATCATCATTATTGTTATGTTGATATCCCCACCAACTATCTAACGGGACTAGTAAAGCAACGCTTCTTAATCCGTATAAATTCATTGTTCATTGTTTATTGAAAAGAAACTCGTACAAGCCATCGAGTGGAGGTAAGAACAGAATACTGAAAACATATGCGGAGAGAGATGACTGGAAGCACTCAGCCTATACACTAAACGGAAACCACAAAACCTGTTGCGATTGGATAAGAAGGCTGGGGTTTAATCGAACCGGGAGAGAAGCATGGTGGGACGAGACGAGGACGTATGTAAGGAATCTAGATCAATTATCTGGTAAAATGGGTGTCGTACGTGCGCACTTGTTGGCAAATGCAATTCGCATGTGTTGCGAACTATTGTATTACAGAGGAACATAAGTGTACTGAGAGTGAACACGAAGAACGTCCGGATTAGGTTGATTTTGAAATTGTACCATTCCCACGTACAAGTGTTTACGTGGTAATCGGATTCAGGGATTAAAGTTAGCTGAATCAACTCGATCGAATATAATGTGACCTCTTTTGGTTTGGCTTGATAATGGTCAGGGGTGGTCAGAGGTGTTCTTCAGGAAACTCAACTCGCTACTTCGAATCGCCAAAAGTACGGACACCGTGCTCATTGCGCTAGACATGAGTGTTCAACTGAGAAGCAGTGGAGAGAAGTCCATCCAAGTATGAATAAGACAGTCGTCTTACAGATAATGATATTCATTAACTACAGATGTGAGTGCGTTAAATGTTTTACATTACAACGTACCGAGTGTCGCGACGCATTGTTTACGCGACCGGAGTCTGAATGGAAGAAGAAGAGGGGAGGCCACACAATAATTTAGTCAAAAAGAATGAAGTCCCTTACTTCGAATTGGGTGTCCGTTGGTTCACCCGACTGCCAAGCTGGTGTGCCGAAGATGACGAATGGTTGGATACACTAGCTAACATGGCTAGGAGCAGACTTCAGTGGCGTTTGTGCTGTGAGTTTCCTCGTCCCTCCGATAACCATCTCAAACCGCACGGATAATAGGACCCTTACTATCATATTACTTGGCTTTTATTTTTTGTATTCTACAATACTTAGGATCTCGCTCTTCATATAGTGTTTGTAGTGCATTATATTTAGCTAAAGTGTGTTTCTCACATTCAGCTAGGGTGTACTGATGATGATGTGGATGATGGTGACAACAAACGTAGACCAACCACAAGCTCTCTGTTAACAGCTTAATCTTCCAACACGCGCTCACGAAAGTTGGATAGCGAAAACCGAAATACATGTCGCGCTTTGCTCAAGTTAACCACATTAGCGCCAGTGAGAAATGGTACATATCAGTGCAACTGTGGTGCACTACTTATGCGTAGTATGGATATCAACGAGAGCGCACAAGAGAAAGGTAAATCATGAGATGCCGGCAGACGAAGGTGTGGTGAAAAATCAACCAGACGGCGTACACGAGGCAATCTAGACAGATGCTCGATGAATGAAAGGTTGCAACGGCGCATCGCTCCGGAAAGGTGCCGCGAATGTCATGCGCAAAGTGGACTCGCGTTCCTATGTTCGAGTTATTATGTTAATTAGACATGCGTTCGTCGGTAGACAACTTGTCCGCCGTCGTTTCGTTCTCGACATGTGCCGTGACCAGCTGCAAGTGGTAAACGTTCCGTGACCGGAACCCTTTGGTTGCGATGTTGGGGATTTTGGGG